TTTATTTTTGCATTTGTTTTAACTTCTATGTGCAAGTAATTTCAAGCTTACAAAAAGTTGCAGAAATAGTATAATGCCTCTCATTCAGATTTTTCCACATATTAAACATCTCTCACATTTACTTTATCATTTTCTCTATAAGTATGTACATAGTATTCTTATTATTCAAAAATATTTGAAAGTTAAGATGTGACCGCATCATACTTTGTTGTATTTCCTAATAACAAGGACATTCATACCCAGTAAAATGATCAAAATCGGGAAGTTAACATTGATACACTAGAAATGTCTCATCAACAGAACTTAGTCAATTCTCACTAATGTCCTTTTTAATAAACAGGCATTTTACAGGGGTGGGATTGGGGATCCATGGTTACATTTACTTGTCCTGCCTGTTTAGTGTCTTTAATGTACAGTAGTTCCTCAGTCTTTCTTCATCTTCATCATTGAAGATTACAGGCCATTTATTGTATAGAATGTCCCTCAACTTGGGTCTGTCTTATGTTTTCCAATGGGTAGATTCAGGGTATGCCTTGTTGGAAGGAATGCCACAGTGCTATGGTGTCCTTCTGGTGCATCAGATGGGGAGGCCCATGGTGTTCACTTGTCCCATGCTGGTGATGCTACTTTGATCATTTAGGCTACTAGGTATCTCCATGGAAAAGTTACCGTTTCCCCCTTGTGATTAATAGATATTTGCGGGGGGTGGGGAAGTCTTTGAGGTTAGGGGGAAACTCTTTGAGATTATGTACATTTCTTATTTCTGATCAAACTTTCACTCACGTCTTTTGACATGCGCTGGTCATTCTTACATAAATCAATTATCGTTACTATGGCTGCTAAGAGGTGATTTCGCAATTCCAACATTCCTTCCAGGTTTATCTGTTTCCATTCTACTTAAAGGAGCCCTCATTTATTTAGTCATTCACTTATATAAGCATTGATTCTTATTATATTTTATGAATTAAATCATTATGAACATTTTGTATATTTATGCTCAAATGTTTTGAATAGAGCTCTAACAAAGTAAAGATAAATGATGGATATAAGCTAGCCACTCTTTTCTCTCCTCTTAATGTAGCGTGTTAGCTAATTTTGCAGTCCTATTCAGGTATTAGGGTAATCCAGTAGAAGCTGCTGTTGTCTCAAAGTTTGGGCACCAGTTCTGCCTCAGTGATTCATTGAAGTGGGGCTGAAGGAGTGCAAGCCACTCTTTTCTTGGAAGCTGGGAGCGTTTTATTGTTCTTAACTGTGCTGAGAAAGCCAATGACTCTAAAGCTGGGGGAAAAAAAGACTCTTAATGAGTTTCAGTATTTTAATGTACTGCAGGTTCCCAATTGTATGAATTTAAGAAGCTTAGCAATTTGGTATCTTCTGAATAATAGCATTTATTTTATACTCTAAATACTCCCAGGGAAGTCTGAATAACATTGCAGCTTCTTTGGTGTAATAGCTTTGGTGGGCTAATTGACTTGAACAGTGGAATTGCTCCTTAAAAAAAAAAAAAAAAAGCCTGTATGGTTTTGATTAATGAACCCGGTAATAAATCATTAATCTTTTTAGCTCATAAATGATAGGAACGTTGTTCTGTTCCCCCTCCCCCCACCAGGATATATTTCTATATTCTCTTGCTGATACAGTAGTCACATTTTAAGGGTCTAATCATTGGTTGAATATGCCGACCTCCACATAATTTAATGTAGTGTCTAGTAAGTTTGCACCTGTGAGGAATGCAGAGGGACAGATTCTAAACAGCAATAATTGTTCTTTTGTAAACATGATTTACATTTAGTTAGTAACCGTCCTCCTGCAATGTCCTACATTTCTTTATTTTTTAATTTAATAATAATTATAGAAAGAATAATGAGTAACTGAGTTTCCCCTATGTACCTGGCACTGTACTAAATTTTTAGTGGAATGTGTCATTAAATTATCACAAGAACCCTCTGGGGTCATTCATATTATTATTTTCATTGTACAGTTCAGGAATTTGGCTGAGAAATGTCAATTACTAGTTACTGTCATAGAACTAGTTAATGTCAGTGCCACTATGTCACTCTGCCCACAGATTATTTTTACCCAGTTTTCTGAAGGTTTATGACTAAAGTTATTTTTTTTTAAAGATTTTATTTATTTGACAGAGAGAGATACAGCAAGAGAGGGAACACAAGCAGGCGGAGTGGGAGAGGGAGAAGCAGTTTCCCTGGGAGCAGGGAGCCCGACGTGGGGCTCGATCCCAGGACCCTGGGATCATGACCTGAGCCGAAGGCAGACGCTTAATGACTGAGCCACCCAGGCACCCTGACTAAAGTTATTTTTGTTGAGATGGATATATGTGTATGTGAATGTGTGTGTAGTTCTTATATTTCAAGAATTTTCATGTTTATCGTGTGGGTAAGACACCATTTAGAAATCATTTAGATTGTCTAATACCATGTGGAGGAAAATAGAATTTCAAATTATAAGCTGTAAGAGTATAGAGGGCAGGTGTTTACATTCTTGGCTGGACTAATGTGTTAGTTAATGAGAAATAGCTTTTTATTATTGAAGTTTAGTTGTAAGCTATTCACAGGGCTGCACTCTCTAAGGCAGGCAAGGATCGTGGCCTCTCATGTCTGTGTCCTCAGGATTTAGCTCAGCCACTGGCGTATACTAGAAGATTAAATGTTTAATGAGTGAGTGAATGAATGGTCAATAGCAGTGATGTCAAAAATAAGTGGATAATCCATTTAATAAAGTACCTGGAGCCAGGATAAGTGAGTCAACAAAGTGATGTTGAGTCAAGTGGTATCATGACCCTCAGTCCCTCCAGTTCTTCAGGTGGGCTGGTCAACTGGGCGATAGGTCTCTTGTAGATAGAACGGAGAAGAAAACTGAGATCTATTCTTTCCATTTTCATTGATCCTCTAAGCAGTTTTGGTGAAATTGCTTAATTCATTGTTGAGCCACATTAAGAATACACTTACTCTTTCCCCCTGATGAGTTTTAAGAGCCTTCTGCTTAAGAGATGGGCCAAAGAAGTGCTGGCAATGATGATGGAAGTGACTCTTTTCGAATGCAAGTGGTTTATCTCATTTGAACTCCTTCAACCCACTGTGACACCTCTTCTTTGCTACCGAGGTCACAATGTTAACATAAGGAATGGAAGCAAGACAGCAGCAACTCCTCCCCACCTTGCCCCTTTTTACCCTCCCCCATTTCTGCATTGATAAATTGGTTTTTTATTGTGAAATACACACATACACACCTTTTCTCCCAGTTGATGTTGTTAAGGATCATAGGCCACCAAATGTTCAGGCTCTTTTTGGAAAAGACTATGATTAAATAAGCCTAGGATATGCCATCCTTCACTTAGACTGACAAGATTTAAATGTACAGCTGAATTTCCTTAAAAAAAAAAAAAAAAAAGAGTACCCATGTAGAGCTGACAGCTTCCTCTTCCTCTATAACATGTGAATTGTGCATGGTTTTACAAAGCCAGTTTTCTGCGAAATTGACATTGGACAATTTAAGAATAAAAGTAGATTCCAGCAAAACAACAACACAACAGCAACATTTTGTATACAAAGGTGCAGTTTTTCACTTTCCGTATATTAAACATACATTTTTTAAAATTTATCCTTATGTAGTAGAGGTAAGAAGGAAACTAGCCAGTTCATTAGTTTTTCTTAGTAACTTGCCAGCAAGACTTAACTTTGGGTCTTCTCTTGCTTACTCATTTCCTCAGTATGACTAAGTGATTTCCATTCTTAGTCAGAAAATAAATTGAGCTGCTAAATAGGTTTACACATTTACACATCCAAAGTGGCTCCTTCGCCTTGATCTCTCAGAGAAAGGTGAGTCAGCCATTAATACACTGCTTTTAAGTTGAAGTCTCATGCTTCTGATTCAAATAGATTGGGATTTGATTTCTAGTTAGTTTTTCGAATAGCTGTGTGATCTTGGACAATTGCATAGCTTCTTATAACCTCAGCTTTCTCACATGTAAAGTGAGGACATGAGCCATATCTACCCCAAGGGCTGCTTCAAAGAATAAAACCATAATGAATTGAAATAAATTTAAAGCACAGTCCTTGGCACATAGTAAGCTTAAAATAAATATTAGTTAATATCGTACCTTAAAATAGTAAGAATATGAATCCTATCTGACAGTGAATAAATTATATGATAGTGATGTTAATCCCTTATAGCAATGGATATTTTAGTATAAGTGTGACCCATGCAATATATAGGAATACTTATACTAAAAAAGTTATTTGTTGTTTATCAGAAATTCATATTTAACAGGGTGTCCTTATTTTATCAGGCTTCCCTAATTTCGTAAGACACAGTGTTAGCCACATGAGCTCTGTTGCACAATCCAAGAGTTACCACTTGTGTTGGGCTCTAGGGGTATCCTCTACGTGGAATACAATGAGAATGGTTGCCCTCGAGTCGAACTCTACATCCCTAGCATCTTTACATCTCCGAGCTACATTTGTGTGTATACCACATATGCATGTGAACCTCCGCAAATTTCTAAGCTGACATATCCTAGGCAGAAGGTACAAAATGCTTTGCACTGCTCTCTATTTATATGTTTTGTGGTGGATATTCTAGAAGAAATTAATAAGGTAACATAGTAAACTTATGGTGATATTCACACCATTTCCATACTTCCAGTTGTTTGAAAGAGGATCATAGTCATTATCAACAAATCAGGCAACAACTTTCTACCCCAGAGTTCACAACAGGCCGATAAAATAGACATCCCTGGAGAGCCCCTTCCAAGAGATGGATTAGACTCTGAGAAATTGTGGAGCCGTTTGTTTACAATATTGAGTAGTTCTCTATAGTTTGGTTTCCTGTTCTCATTTTTGACTGTCAGGACCCAGAGTACTAAAACCATACATATTTGTGATATAGTAATATATTACAATAAAACTATAGAGAGATCTCAATATTGTAAAATGTTAATTTAGCATTTTCTCACAGGAGAAACCATCACATCAGGGCTGATAATGGGCGATACTGAGCTCGAGTTCATGAGGTGCATGTGGAGGGAGAAGTCAAGGAAAGCCAGGAATCCAATCTGGCCACCTGTCCCAGGAACACAGGTAACTCAAATTCAGTCATAAAGCCTCAAGAGGCTCATTGAATCATTCACTGCTCACCTCAACTCCGAGGCTGCTCGACTGATCTAGAAATAAAACCCTTAAAGAATCGTGCAAATGACCAGCGGTGCAGGTTGTCCTGAGCACCGGGCAGAGTTTCACAGTCAGGCCTCTGCCAAGTTTGTTATTGAGAATTAAGCCCTCCAATTGAACTTGAGGACGTGAACTTCCATTGCCAGCGCTTTGCTTGCATTAAATCTGAAATAATTAAATGCTTCCACGTAATTAAATGTGTTCCTTATAGAAATTGTTCTTATTGGTGCCTTGGGAGGAAAAACTGATACGTATCACCCTTCTCTCACTCGATCACCATGTGAAACTAAGGGAAGAGAAATCACCCTTTTTCTTTTAGGGGAGGGAGAAGACAATTAAAAACATAGGGCGGACCCCTTCAGTCCTTACCGAACAGGACAGAGGACATATTTCTTAGGCATCGCGTGGGGGTGAAAGCCTCCTTCTTGGCAGTCCTTCTATACTTTTCCTTTTACTCTTTAATCGCTACCTTGGATGTATGATTCTAGAGCCCGTATGTTTGGGAAAGGCAGTGCCTCTCTCTTTCCCTAGTCAAAGGCCATGGCTCTGTGGCTAATGAATGCAGACATCCTGGTGTGAAGATCAGAGCTGATCATGGGTCCTGAGTTTTTCATAGCAATACCAATTTGGCAAAATTAACACATTGTATGAGTTAGAATTCTCCAGAATAATAGAACCAATAGGAGATATTTATTTATTGATTGATTGATTTAAATTTTATTATGTTATGTTAATCACCATACATTACATCATTAGTTTTTGATGTAGTGTTCCATGATTGCGTATAACAC